TCTGCGTACGGCAACAACGACTCCCACTTGGCACCCCTGTCAACAACCAAAGCGCGGAGCATATCCTCAAGCGTCTGAATTGTCCGCTCTGACTGACCGTCTGTCTCCGGATGGTAGGCTGAACTGAACTCAAGCTTCGTGCCCATCGCGTCATGCAAGCTGTGCCAGAATCGACTGACGAATCTGGGATCTCTGTCTGATACAATGGTAACGGGCACTCCGTGGAGTCGAAAGATCCCACGGGCATAAATCTCAGTCAACTTATCCATGGACATCCTCATCGAAACGGGTAAGAAATACGCAACCTTAGTCAATCTGTCGACCACGACCCAGATAGCGTCGTGATGTTCAGACGACCTCGGCAATCCCGTAACGAAATCCATCGTGACTTCCTCCCACTTCCACTTCGGAATCGGCAGTGGTTGTAGGAGGCCAATCGGACTCTGATGCTCGGCTTTAACTTGCTGACAGGTTAGACATCTCTTGACGAACTCGGCGACATCCTTCTTCATGCCTCGCCACCAGAACGACCCCTTCAGGTCGTGATACATCTTCGTGCTCCCGGGATGGGCTAAATATGGTGCGGTATGGGCCTCTGATAAAATCTCCTTCCGCAACACCTCAACTTTCGGGACCACGATCCTGCCTCTGAACTCTAGGGCGGCACCTAGCTGAAAACCCTCGACGCCTCCGGCGCGAACCTTGGCCTCCATGACACGAACGAATTCGTCAGAAGCCTGTTCTCGCCGGATTCTCTCTCTTAGCGTCGGCTGAAGCTGCATAGCACTGACACTGGCGCTGGCACTCCCCGAAACTGCTATGGGAAGTGCATCGATCGCCTGAAGCTGCATCCGGGCAAACTCCTGAATCAGCGGACTCTGCTGAGTAATGACGTACGTCAAATCACCCTTCACCTGACGGCTTAGGGCATCTGCAACGACGTTCGCCTTCCCCGGATGGTACAGAATAGAGCAGTCGTAATCCTTGACGAGCTCTAACCAACGACACTGTCTCATGTTGAGCTCCTTCTGAGTAAAGATATACTGCAAGCTCTTATGATCTGT